CGAGCGGTGGGCCAGACTTCGGCCCACGATACCGATGCAACCGAACCAGTCATCACCTTTCACGACATCACGCAGTACTACAAGCCATCAAGGCAAACCAGGCCACCCCCGCACCCGCAACTAAACAGAGCTCAACAAATCACTTGGCGGTGGCTTACAACGAACTCATTCCCTTCCCCGTAGATATACAGACACATATACCCAGCCTTATTCACATCTACCTGCACCATTTCCAAGACACAGACCGCAACCTTGGACCACATCACCTGGGGATGCAGCGAGGACCCTCTCAGAGCAAACCTCTTAGGACAGTCACCTTCAAGTGAGGCCTGGGAGAGAATCCTCACGACCACAAGTCTGGAACCCTGCTCCATGCCATCAAACGTGCTGACGAGGTGGCGACCAGGCATGGCCTGACAGCCCTAGCCACTTAGGAAACCGTCAGCTGTCTTAATAAAGTTGTTTACTACTAATAGGGCCTTCTGACTGGAGAATTCCGTTCCCGTCTTCAGAATTTTTAGATGCGGAGCATCTAATACTCGAGGCTTGTAGTGCGGCGCCGTCTGCAAGCTTCCTCCTCCTTCTTCCACCATCTGTGCATCCCTTCCTCCTCTACACACCGCGCGCGCTTCACTCCTCCACCATCTGTGCACCCTTCCTCCTCTACACACCGCGTGCGCTTCTCCTCTTCACGAACATTCGCTAGCTGTATAATGTAGCGCGCATGCGCCGTCACTCTTCGAGAACATCGGCAGCTGACGCGCGCGCATGCGCCGTTGCGCTTCTCCCCCTTCTCGAACATTCGACAGCTGACAGTGCATGCGCCGTCGCGCTGTATATATACTCAAGGTCGGCGCTCGCTCGCTCAGTTGCCGCTCGTCGGTTGGTTTTTACGGCGCGTCGACGTCCAAGGTCGCGGTGAAATGAATTCCAACGAATCCACAAACACAATGATCGACGTCCCTTCGACCAGCGCCGCCCTTTCGCATACGTGTGTACGTGTTCACTCATTTAACACCCCCTCCTACAACCACGTTAACCAATTTAGCCATCGACCCAAGTAAGTCGCAATTTAACACCCCATTTCACAACTACGTTAACCAATTTAGCCATCGACCCAAGTAAGTCACACTTTAACACCCCGTTAACCAATTATATGCTCCGCATCTTCCTCAGTGTTCCCCCGAGGGAAGCTGCGGGCAATTTTTTTTCCGCAGATTCGGGGACGCGATTCCTTCTACAATTAGGTCGAACGCCAGCATGGTGGTACCCGCATCAAAATTGCAGAGTCGAGCAAGCCGTTTAACTTCTAGAATGTATTATTGCACTGCATGCGGTCTCGGCTGGTAGTTGCCGTAGCGCCTTGAATGAGGCACGCAGGTACATTGGATTGACTTGCTCGTCAAAAATCACGTCCAGCTGCTGGAGCGTTGCAGCATACGCGTCTTGCACGGCATCCGCCGGGATTCCACGGTCTACTGCCGAAATCGGTTAATTCTCCACAGCAAGCAGGTAGGAGTTTAAACCTTCAACGCCCAGCGCGTTCAGTAGTAACGCCTTCTTTTGCTCCAGCGTGACGTCCCTGGCAGCGGCCTCGATGTAAACTTGAAAGACCGGACGCCACTGCAGGCCTACCGGGGCACTGCAGGAATACGAGTGGAGGTATCGCAGCATACATCCCTGCGGAGGAAGTTAGCTGAACCGGAGGACCAAGCCAGACGCTTAGCCCAGTATGCGTAGTCTCGATGGTCACGAACTGGTGATCCGCAGAAATGGAGTATTGGTGGGCTGTACCCAGGGTGCTAAACATGGTAGCACTAGTAGCAAAGCGTCGTATGCCTGTGACGTAAGAAGGCAGGGATGGTTGGGAGAAGTAGATGAGGAAGAAGTCGGAGTAGAATAAACATGGGGTATGAGCCAGGCCACGTCGCCAATACATCATAGCATCACATGCCCAACTTGGCCGGATGCACGTGGATCTTATCCTCGTTATGTTAAACTTAGCTATGGTAAACTTAGTTCCGTAAGACGTAGTCATGAACATAACTAAGTCTTTCAGTACAGTAATACAACAAAAGCGACATTTCAAACAAAGGGGTCCGATACTAGAGCTGTATATACGCAGCTTCGGCTAATATCTGTTATCTTAGCACATATCGTCTACTACTTTTTAGGTGTGTTTGAGTGCGAACGTGCATGCGCGAGTGTGGGCACACACACACTGAGCCAGATAGAAAAACCGCCTTCTCACATATATCCAAATCTTGGGGCTCTGGCATCACTGGCATTTCCATCCTACAACGGGAGCCATTCGGAGGGGGTAGTTGAGTTTCTTCAAGGAGCTGGATGGAACGACATGATATGACTAGTCGCAGACAACTTTGAGGCATTTATTTACAGACGGTCCTCTCTTCGCACTCCTTTTTTCCTTCCCAAGTGCAGCGTAACCAATCGGAGGTTTCTCTTCCGGCTAAATTTCACCTCCCCCCCTCTCACTCGCTTTTCCTTAGCGTGGAGTGTGACAAAGCGAGTAGAATCTAGTTAGCTTCCCTGCTTTTCCTGTGCCCCTTCTATCATTATTCTTTTCTCACTGGCATTTGAATGGTATTCTTTTGCAGCGCTCCAGAAGGGGACATTTCTCGTTTTCATGATATGCACTATCGATGCCCCTTACCCACCTGAGCAAGTCAACACATGTAAAATATATGTTTTGACTTTAATTTTCTCATCACTCAGCATCTGCAAACAAAGCCCACCGCAACGGACATCATCCTAACGAGTCAACACAGTTCACTGGGTTTCCAATTCTGCGTTCTGCATCCTCCTTAAATTGCAGCCATCGCTGTCGGAGACACAGGACGATAATTCATGCATTGTTGTCCATGTGAACCATGCGTGGCTGATAGCAAGTGGGAAAGCTGGTGCTGGTATTTCGCGAGTGGCACTCCTTTTGTAACGTCAGACCTGGGTTGACACGTCATTGCGAAGCCGCCCCATCCATGCGAAGAAGTGTGGTTTAGGGGCTTGCTCGGCAAGCTTCTAACGCACAAACCTTGTTTAGTGGCGATGGCCGGTGACCGGAGTTTGCAACAGTGTTTCTAGTACACACTTCTCCGGTTGCCGCTCATGGCGTAGTCTCTGGTGATTCCAACGTTGCTCATTATATGATGCGTTAACGCGCCAAATGCCGGTCTTCTGGTGATTTTGACTTGCTTTGCGAGAACACGGAACACTCCAATTCATGGGGTACAGGTGACATGGGATGGACATAGTTCGAGTGCAGGGAAGCTAGGAGCAAGATGAGCGATTAAAAAAAAGGAGAGGAGCGTTGAGCTAGGAAAGCTTTCAGCTACTTGTACATGAAGAATGTTAATACTAAATGGAGGAAGCGAACTCGAAAACTGTCAAGCAAGTATTCAGACAACAGCAGAATACCAAGCCAAAAGGAAACATCGGTTAAGGAGAAGGTGAAAGAAACAGAGAGGGACATGTCTAAGATGGAAATGCTTACGAAATCATCATTGGAGACCTACAAAACTTATAAGCAGGAAATTACAAGGGAAAAGATCTACGATAATTCTCAGGGTAGTTCTCTGCTCTTCGAGACTAGAACAGGAGCATTGCGGACCAAGACGTACTGAGCGAAATACGAAGGCACAGGCACGGTATGTAGTGTGTGTGTGGAGAGGAGGAGGAAACGGCTGAACATTTGATAATGTTCTGTAAAGGGCTCCGCCCTATAGTCGAAGATAATGGCACCAAATTTTTTGAAGCATTGGGGTTTAGGGACAGTGAAGGCAAAATAGACTTTAAGCCGGTAGAAATAACCAGGAGGCGGCTAACGGATCGGTGGTTACAATCGAGGTTCCAGTGAAATTCTTTATGGCTAGGTGGTGTGAGCCCGATCTAAAGGGCACAGGCGGATACACCCATCCATTCATTCATCGGCGCACACTACTCTCGGCACATCGTTTTCCTTTCTTCTCGCTGGGAGATCGTGCAGTGAACACGCATCATTACCACTCGGCAAACGTCCCACCACCATCAGGAACACCTGCACCGATCTTGCCTTCTCGAACTTTCCATTGCGTCCCATCATCAGTAACTCTCGGCAACGTAGTTTAGTTATCTGAAAGTAATAATCTTTAAAGGCAAGCGAGTGGAGGAACGCCCTTCTTGTACTTTATGGTGTTGAATAGTGCCGTTTTAAGGCGCAAATGCCATGGGTGTCCAAAGCCACCAATGGCCTCTGGCGTGTATATAATATAAATAGTGCGTGCGTATGAAGCAATCATCTGTAAAGTGAAGTGGGCTCCAGAACTGATGGAGTGACATCCTTCTTGTACTTTGAAAAATGACATCTCGTGTATATGTAGAATGTATGCTGTGCATACAAATGTAAACTAATAAACATTGTGTATGTATTGCAAATATAACAAAATTGTCACATCTATATATCATGGTAGGAGTGGTGTACGGAATTGATGATTGATTTGTGGGGTTTAACGTCCCAAAACCACCATAAGATTATGAGAGACGCCGTAGTGGAGGGCTCCGGAAATTTTGACCACCTGGAGTTCTTTAACGCGCACCCAAATCTGAGCACACGGGCGTACAACATTTCCGCCTCCATCAGAAATGCAGCCGCCGCATCCGGGATTTGAACCCGCGACATGCGGGTCAGCAGCCGAGTACCTTAGCCACTAGGCCACCGCGGCGGGGAAAGCGGTGTACGGAAGATTCTCGGGTTACCAGATCATATCCATGCAAGCTTCTCTAACGTGATTCACTTTGTGGATATGGCGGTGAATTTTTCTTTAAGGCAGTGGTATTAACAATACATTCAATACATCTACAAGCAGTACGACACTGTTATCGAGGTGCTGAACACCCGTGTTTTTATTTAGAGCCTCCAATCAAAATCATTTAAATTTCGCGTCACTATCTTTTAAATGCATTGAGTGCTAAATATTTTTCTTCGTGACTTCTACTCTCCTCAGAGGTCGTCCCAACCGACAAGTCTCACGCGGTGCCGAGCTACTCCGTGGTGGCCCGTGAAGGCGACGAGCTCCAGCTGTCGTGCGGCTCGGCGGGCGCCGACAGCTGGCTCGCACTCGGCGGCGAAACTCCGAGCCGCACGTTAATGGGGACGGTGCGAGCACCCCGGGGGAGGACGACGCCAACGCCCGTAGCGCCAGACCTGAGGGGACGACTGCTGCGGTTCGGCCGCGTGCGGAGGCAGCACTCCCGTCGCTACACGTGCCGCTTCAAGTCAGCGCGTGGATACCACGTCCTCGTCGACGTCAACCTTGTCGTTCAATGTGAGTCTCGTTAGATGACTGCCATTCAGACACACTGAAATACAGAAACGGTATTCTGGCCGAATTCGGTTGCCGCGTATTGAGACAGAAATATAATTTTCATAGGTAATCGTAGCTACGATGTCAGATCGAAAGCAAGTGCTGAGACGTGACGTGAGGTCGCTGCCTATCTGCCATAAATTCATAATTAGCGCTACACATAGCGATAACCTGAACAACAATAGCATATCAGCGGCCCAGTTTCACTACAATACCATGTCTATATAGCAATGGCTGACTTATTCTGATGCTCAGTAGAGGTCTACTGGGGCTTGCTCGCGTATACATCTGGCTCAATAAGATGCACGCTTATTCCTCTATGTATTCTTAAAATCATAACAGTAGACGTCAGAGACTGGAGTTTTGCAGACGTGCAGCGCTACCTGTCGACGCAGTTTTGAGTAGTGCGAAGCCTGGCTTTCTCGCAGTTTGCTGCGCAACCAGGTGCCACTACAGCGTACGAAACAGCAATTCAGTTAAATATTATGTGTATTTGCGCATTGAACACTTGGAAAAAAGAGCTACTAATTTCGCTCCGCTAGTTGGACGCGTCACCGAACCACCATAAAGGGCTTGTGGGTTCATTTGCTAGAACAGCAGCGAGAACAAGAGAAGACGCAACAGCTCCGCGCTCTACGAAAAATACCCCTGTGTATACGCTAATGTTGCGTTGCGAATTGCCACGGATGTAAAGAACTTTGGTTTTGTTGATTTCCGCAGCTTTCTCGAAGCAGAACAGCCAGAGTGCTGGATACGGGCCGTCGTGAGCGTGTTGGTTAGGCGAATTATTCGAGTTCTCCACAACCGGTCACATTGTGACACTGTAGGTAATATGATAATGCTCCCAATTGTTAACTTTGAATATGAAGCCTAACAGTGCCTCTGATCACGGTGCGCGCCGTGCAAAAGTAAACAGGTGACGCGTGCGATTAACATCGCACACACCACCACCACAAATAATCTGAAGTGGTCGTCACCACACAGCATTACGCATGTAGCGCGTTGAAGGCTCTAAGTTCCGGCTTTAACGAAATGCGAACACGTACGTCACACAGGTGAATCGCAGACTAATTGTGACCACGATCAGGTTTCTCTTGCCATTGGTCTCCGCGATCTCCGCGATCTCCGCGAACTGACTGCCGGTGACGCTCACGACTATGTTTATCCGTTTTGCTTGCTTGCTTGCTTGCTTGCTTGCTTGCTTGCTTGCTTGCTTGCTTGCTTGCTTGCGTGTGTGTGTGTGTGTGTGTGTGTGTGTGTGTGTGTGTGTGTGTGTGTGTGTGTGTGTGTGTGTGTGTGTGTGTGTGCATGTGTGTGTGCATGTGTGTGCGCGTGCGTGTGTGTGCTTGAGTGCGTGTGCATCTGTGTGCGTGCGTGCGTGCGCGCGCGTGTGTGTGTGTATGTGTGTGTGTATGTGTGTGTGTGTGTGTGTGTGTGTGTGTGTGTGTGTGTGTGTGTGTGTGTGCCTGCACTGAAATACCTCGAAATTTTCTGTTTGATGAGTACAGAAGTGAGTGTGCTGCGCTGCATGGCCGAGAAATGAGGTCTATTCCAAGCTGATAAAGGGACATTCTGCAATGGGCCAGCACAATGCTGAAATAATCGTTCCACGATTGATTGCGATTCTCATGTTAGAATGCTCCTAATTCATTGATGCGCGTGTTACAATGGTCATGTTACAATGCATTACAATGGTCATGTTACAATGCACGACCTGTGAATTAGGACCGCATTTTTCGTCAGACAAATACACTAATTACAACTGGGTAAGGGGAGGCCATATCATGCGTCACATTCAAATTTTTAGTGAAAGTAGGAAATATAGCTATGATCGATTCCAGTTAGATGCCCTGTGTGAGGGATACAAAAATAAATTGCCGAAAGAGGAAAAAAGGAGGTGGTGGTAGTGGTAAATATTTGATTTGCATGGTTGTATCATGTCTATGCGCAGCGCTGAAAGACAGAGACGTACACAAAAAACACAAAACGAGGGTTGATTCGCAACGGCGTACTTGATAAAAATGAAAAGATTATCACGTTGGAATGGTACAAAACGTGAGGGAAATTGAAATGATTGACTTGTTAAAGACAACGACTCCTGTTTCTTGCCATTTTTTCGAGCTGCAACAAAGTGTGATAGTCCCTTAACCCAACCAACAATCCACTATACACTGCAGTTATACCAGCGTTGTAATTATTACCAGCGCTGTGTTGAAGACAGCAGTTCATTCTCAAGGATTGTGACTGTAGTCTCTATGAGATGACCAAGTAAAGCGTGCAGAGGCGTCGGCGAGAATATTATTGAATGAAGCGACTATCACATGGTGAGACGTGTTGGTGAGATAACCACATAACAAAACGCTGGCTGACAGGCTCATTTATAGTAAAGTAAAAACATATCATATGCTGCGAAGAAATTTTAATCGTCATTTCCACACGTAATAGTATTCGAAAATAAAAAAAAGCTCATCTGCCACCAAGGTAGCACAATACTCACAGGACTCATCTGAAGATACGAGAGACCACGTCGATGGAAGCTAAATGATAAAGTTCTGCGTGCTGTACGATTTCAGTGTACGAATCGCAGGTGGTTGAAATTATACGTTGTCTTCCACTACGGCACCAGTCGTTGCCTCATTCGCTTTGGGACGGTGAACTCCACAAACCAACTGATCAAATAAGTACATTAGAGAAGAATGGAGGCGCCCCTTGCGGATGTCTGCAACAAGCATTATTGGAAGGGGTTACTTGGTGCTGCTCGTGCTGCTTCCCTTTCAATATTTTGTTGTCCCTTTAACCTTAGCACCTTCGCGAGCCGCTTTATATAAGCTGGACTTTCTTTACTTTTTGTGGCGGCCTCAAGGAATGTCACGGTGGACGTAACCGCTGTCTGGAAGTATAGAGCCCGAAGGCAGTACTTTCTACAACTATTATATGTATACAAGTGCAGCCTTAACTCTAAAGGAGTTTTTTTCTAGTCCGTCTGCGAGTACGGGCAATGAAGAAACACTATGCACATGGTGAACGGGACTTGAATCGTAGTTAAAACATTCATGTTTGTATCACGCACATGGACACACATCGGTGTCAGCTTCAGAAACAGTGTTCAATGCTTTCTTTCTCTTTTCGCACAGAAACCCCTTTCCTTACTCTCACCTTACTTCCTCCTTACCGCATTTCTCCACTTAAGCGCAGCCGAATAACGTAAACAGAGCTTTCTGCTTCAGAGAGATTCTGATATAGGGCAAGTTCACTTCCGTCCCACTTATAAGAGGAGTCGGGCCACACTGGCCGTGCGCCACCAAAAACACCAGCCCTGTGAATTCCGCGACCTTGGTGCAGACCTCCCGAACACCGACCGGTCAGCCTGTGCCAGGCCGCGTGTTCCGGAACAGTGACTCGCGCCACCTCGACGGCTCTATTGCGGCAGGGACGGCACCTTGCTATTTGTGCGCGGGCGCCGGCTGGCTTGCGTCCCATTCCCTGATAGGTTTTCCGAGACTGGACGGCTGGCCGCGCTGTGAACTGGATTTGTTTTTTTTTTCTCGCTTCACTGCCGTGTTTTTTATTGCGGGTGGCATTCGAGTGGACGTAATGCACATCTAGGGTGGAAAGGAAACAACTAAGGTGGGCGTTCCTTCCTTCACCTGTACGAGTCAAAGCGCGGAAAACATGAACTTGCCTCCCTCGAGAAACCTCCAGCCTGCTCGGCATGCGCGGGATGTCGTGTGGGGCCTCGGCTCGAGCGGCCACAGAATGATGATTTCGTCAAGCGCCCACCCTCTCCACGCTCCTTTATTCCTTCATAGCTAAGTCAGCACACGCCCCGTGGAGAAGAGGTCTATGGGGAAGTGTGTTAGTTTGTAGTGGCTGACGCTGTGGAATTGGTCGTAAAGGTTGGATGGATAGCATCGCCACTTATTTATTTTGCCAAAGTGGCGACCCTATCAGTTTCTTACGTGTGCCTTGGGGCCAGCGTAACCTTCGCCTCACGCGGGAAGCAACCATTAATAAATAAATTATTGAGAGTGGGCAGAGGGTGGGAGGCATGCTTTAGGCAGCGAGTGTCAGTAGTTCCAGATGTAAAAATGCGCACCAGTATGCGATGCCCAGCGACAAACTTCTCCCGTATAGCTAATCGTCTCAATCCTGAATAACAAGTGAACAACCAGTTACAGCCTAATCACATCAACTGGTAGTACACTGGGGTTTCAGATCAGGTTCTCTCAATTTCCCTTATGGGCGTGCCTAATGGATCAATCAGAGCCAGTTGTATTGTTTTTGATAGCACTGAGTATAATCAAGGTCAGTAAGGTCGGAGCGACTGGACATGACGCAAATGCGCGGTCAGGTGAAAACTTGTCGCGACACACTACAGATGATTTAGTCACCACAGAGGGCAATAATGTAATGTAGTTGTCTCAAACTTACATCACATAGCCGGCCGCAACCGGCAACTTTAGTCCAGGAAGGGGTATATATATATATATATATATATATATATATATATATATATATATATATATATATATATATATATATATATATATTTGTTAAACTTGTTTTCCTTAATAATGTAGAGCTTTTGCACAGCGGTTATTTTTAAAGACATGGTGGCCGCGTAGACTTCCTCATGAAAAAAATTGACTCAGACAAGTCATGCCTATGTAGCTCGACAATACACGAACACAGAAAAATAAATGTAAGGGATGAGCAGAGTCCGGTGCGGGCCATACCGCCAGCGAAAGTTACGCAAACCACGTGTTGAATAACAAAGAACTAGTGCGCTTAATCACGCTTAGTTGTGGCCATTGAAGCTGTACGAAAGCGCTGGCAGAAAATTTGCTCAAGAATGATACCTTCGTTACATATTCGCCAATTCTCTGTAGAGTTTGTATACAGTTATTTGCATCGGCTATTACGTTCTTTGAAATCTTCCTGCTTATCCGAACATCCCTTTCTCAGTAGTCGTCGTCACTTTAGGGGAGGAAGGGGGGGGGGGGGTGCTTACGCGTTAACCTGTCGCGTTCCGATCCTCACAAGAAAAAAAGGAAAGGGGGAGCGTATATGAATGCTCGCTCCTGCATTCGCATAATCTTGTATGGGTGGGAGCTTCTCCTTCACAGTGGTGTTAGCATTGTAATAAGTTCGATATCTGGAAATCGTTTGAGAAATTCTTGTCTTACACCCCACCCGCAATTCTAGATGCCCCGTCAGTGGAGCCTCTGGAAGTGCGGCGCGACGAGAAGGACTCCCGGTTGGTGTGCGTCGCGGGGGCGGAACCTTCGCCAGAGATTGCTTGGCTCCGAGATGACCAGCCACTTGCCGAGCACATCACTCCTTCACTCAGGTGGGCAGCTATACTCTGCGAGAACATTTTTTTTTTTAGAGGCGAAGCTCCTTACGCCATGCGTCGTGTGTCCCGGGTTTGTAGTAATGGCCACCACTCATTAAATCCTTATAATGAGCGCTGGATGGCGGTACTTGTATATGAATATATGACGAAAAGATGCGAGATGGCGGTACTTGGATTGTTCACTAGATGGATGGACAGACGAACAGATGGACGGTCGCATGGATGGTCGCACGAATGTATGGAAGGACGGACGCATGGACGGACGGACGCATGGATGAATGGACGCTCAGACGGATTCACGTACGGACGAACAGAAGCACGGATGGACCGACGGACACTTCACCCCACTCATCATCATTCACTCTGTTTATATGCTGTAAATTTCAAGCACTGCGGAAGCTCTTCTGTTGTGCTCTGTTCTAACTGTTTTCTCTGGAGAGGTTGAGGTCCATATTGCCTCGGCTACTCCATATCAACAAGTACCGTTTAGTGTTATTCTTTTATTTTTTATCACTGCTGAAGCTACAGAACCAAAGCTTGCTACTGCATTAAAAATATTGTACACGTAAGTTTACTGATAATTTTTATTGGTTTCGCTGACATAACTCTTTTATTTATTGTGAGAATCAATCAAATGCGGGAGCTCTAGGTGGGTTTTAGTTATTTTTCACTTTCCAATATTACCTTTCTTTTCTTTTCAGTCGCCGCCCAAGCACTCCATACAAAAGGTTAAACCAGCGAAAGCAGAAACGTGCAGCCCCGGCGTTTAGCTGTGGGTTCCACCCAAGGATGATTAGTTGAACCCGACGTTGCAATGAAGCGTTTCACAGTTATTAGTTACATACTCGTGCTTCTTAAAGAAATTCGACACACTTTTCGCTCTGGTTTACCACAACGTTTCTTTCACATGCCGTACATTGTGTCTCGCATGGTCACGGTCATAGAGGAATGTAGTTTGCGGTTAAATGCGTTTCACAATCAGTTATTCAGAGTGATTGTGTTCTAGAACCAGAGGCGGTCACAGACTCCGCGGACGAAGCCACTCGAGAAGCCACCGCCGAATGAGGCGTTCGCCCCGGCGAACGCGCTCCCACAATCATCACATTGATGACGCAACGCCGCGTTCTTGCAAGCGTCTGCTCGGCGGGGAGGTCTCATGAGATGCTCTTGCGTGCGGGCTCGATTGGCGCTACGGCTGCGAAGACGTCACTCACAACGTAGCCAATGGTGCGCGTGCTTAGAAATGACGTAACTGATAACACAGCCAATGTGTACTCAACGACAGCTTGTGTTTGCATTGGAGCGAAGGCTACAGAGCCAAATTGCGTGAATCCTACCGCCATTGAATGTAGTTATACCTTAGAGCTCATATTTTCAACATGAAACATGAAAAAATCTCCCTTATTTCCTGCGCGGAGCTATTCAAGACAGGACACTGCTCACACTATCAAAACATTCATAATTCTTTTAATTTATTCATCATGACTTCGCGTTTTTGAACGCGTGAGAAAGTCCCGCCTTTTCACGTGCACCTCAAGCGCTAAGCGTCGTCTGCGTCTACATAAAACGCTGATGGTGCGACCCCGTCACTTTCCTCAGCATTACGATGGGCGCGCCATAACGGACTACTTCGCGTAGTGCTACGTGTGCAGAAACTCTACCTGTGTAGCTTTCCCATCATGCAGTGCCGAGCAAAGTTGTCGCCGAGTATAGACCGCGCATGATACCGCTGCTGAGCGGATTTTCGTTTGTCGCATTCATATACAGATTTCGCAGTAAAAATAACAAATTTTCAGCACGCCTGTTTTCCAAAGTAAACACCGCGTCCATGACGTAGCAGTTCAGTGCTCGTACTCAAACACACTCTCTAGTTACCAAGAAAAATATACTCGTAATATGACACTGAAAAGCACACTGAAAATCGGAATGGATCTCCCTTCTGATTATTTTTCTTGCATATAATTTTCTAAACGCATTAAGGGTGCTACCGAACAAAGCTGCAATCGGCCGCAAGCGTCCGTTCTACTTGCAGAACAACACTGCCATGCGGAAGCTTCGCCTCTTTAGCCTTCGCTCCACTATCAACATAAACTGTCACGAGTATATAGTTACAAGCTACACAAAGTTCACCGTTTTGTGCTTCCTGGCTAAAACCTAATCGCACTCCGCTGGTGGTCAATAACGGTTGTCTATATAGGCATTTTACAGTGTGCGTGGGGTGAGGTAGTACCGATTCCTGTATCTAGGAAAGAAAAGTTCCAGAAATGAAAAAAAAGAGCTTTTTTGTCCGGGATTTTAACGTGGGATCAGCGCCTTTTCGGGGATGGTTGCTCTATTATCAGTATTTATTGTTATTCACAGCCTTTGAAAGCGCCAAGTTACATTTATAATTAAACGTGTTTGCATATGAAACTCGTGATCCGTAACCACGAAAAACAGCTCGTTGTTTTTCAATCTACGCAGAACAAATGACTGCGAAATCTATAGTTATTTCTCTTTCATCCATTTAATTGTTATATAGTTTCACGTATTAGCGTTTTACATCGCTGCAATGTTTATTCCTAAACACATTGTTGCAACTCGCTGCCATTGACATAAAGTTCTCGACATTCGATGAGTTTCGCATGACAGGCCTGCTTTTTCTGTCCGTCCTCAAGGGACACAATATATACGTGGAAATCAGTGCTGTTCACATTCGAATACTTTCCCTCTATGGTACGAGTAATACCGCAGATCAATTGACACTTGTCTATATTTTGATCTCCACAAATGAACGCTTCTCATCACCAAGTGATCGCCACCTCATCCCTGCATGTGAACGTCTGTGTTAAATTTTGTCAGGAGGGACCGCATTTGAACGTGATAGCCTTGAATAGCTCATTCCACGAAAATTCCGGCGTCGGCGTCGTCGATTGTGAGCGAAAAATATTCATCTTTTCGTGACCAAAAAAAAAAATCGAGAAATATGGAAATAAAGTATCTAACAAAAAATCTGGGTCTGCACGGGAATCGAACCCGGGTCATTTGCATGGCAAGCGGGTGTTCTACCAAACAGCCCCGCCTCTTGTGAATACAGTCAAAATAACTTCTTCGGTTGAAAATGCAGTGAAAGTAACTTTCATGCTTCACAAACTCACGCGTCCTCTATGCATCCTTCACAATAAAACATGAAATGTTCCCGTTATTACGGGAACATTTGTGGTACAAACGCACGTTGCTGTCGAGTGTCAGAAATGAGATTACTGTAACGACTTCATAGTTTGAAGCCAGTCACCCATTTCAAAAGACACAGGTTACTGAATCCTTAAGGCCCCGTACGTAGTGGTTGCATGGCCAGTTCGAGGAGATTTCACTTACTGAGTGTTTCAAGTAGGCACTAGTAACAGAATATCGCTATGGTGTTCAACCTGTCAAAGTGAGGCTTAAGGGTCCCCAATTTTTTTGTTTTTTTAGCTCTTCCGTATGTCCCGGCACTCTCGATGAGAAAGATATGGCAAGCCCTCCGCTATAAGAATACAATTCTGTGAAGGGGCATGCATTATCAAATTATAAAATTTCCATTTAGGAACTGAGTTCAACTTGAGCCTTCTTTTTTATTCTCCCTAATTATTAGCTATAGGTCATCAAGGTAGACTTTTTTCAGAGTTATCAACAGAGAATGCATTCTGCAGAAATAGCTGCCTTCATTACGGGGAACGATACATGAAGGACAGTTCAGGCTTACGAGTAACTTCCACTTAGGGCATGGCGATGTTTTTGTTCTACTTGCACAGGACTGAAAATGCGTCGCAAGGCTGCCTTCGGATATCCAAGTTACACTTAAGCGAAGCCTCGGGTGACGCCGAGGTTCCTCACAAGTACACCTGCGTGGCACGTAACTCACTAGGCACATCTAGCCGCTCACTCCTCCTCCGAAATGGTGAGTCGTGTTGTGAAATCAATCAATCAGTTAATTGAAATTCTTCAATCAAATTGAGTTTTATGAACTTATCGATTGATTATTTGATTTATTGATTGATTCAATTTTTTGTGAGTGACGTGTTAATCGTTTCTTGTTTGTGGATCAATTCTACATGTATATTGAAAAGTGAACGGTGGGAATAAGCAACCAGACGCTATAACAGCACCAAATCAAATAACATTCAAAGCTGTCGAAGTCCCAAAAATAGAGATACAGTGAGGAAGAAAAAAAAGGGGGTAGAGCGGAAGACGGGAGAACAGAATAGCGGTCTTCATACCCTTATTTTTTAACTGTTCGATGGTGGTTGAGTGGACAGGAAATATAAATAAGTAGAAGAGACAATTAGGGAGGCGGACCCAACACCATAGCGGCTGACAACAATGTTCATATTCTCCTATATATGCACATAAGTAAAGCTCACAGATATAGGTGAATGTCACAACGACTGAGAAATGTACGCAAGCCTTTTACTTAGGTTCGTTTCAGGAAAGTGTGTGCGTGTAATCTACACTGCGCGAAATGACGAACGTTGTGTGCTTGAACTCTAAAGTTTGAATTGATTAAGATAAAGCTATAAAAAGGTTGTTAAATACACTTCAAGTTCTTCCAAACCTTTTGCCAGTCGCTGGTATAAAAACAAAAAATCTGGCTGAGAGTGGTTGTGCTGATGCGTCTATGCAATATGGGTGCATTGTCTAGTTACAGGTAGAAGCTTTTTTTTTTTAAATTGCGACTGCAATAATTTCATACTTGAAGTGGTTTATCATCCGTTATCTGTTCGAAACTTCCATCAAGGTATAGGGGACTGCTTTCAGCTCTCGCATAGTACAGTATCAAGTACTGTAAATCGTTAAACCTTTTTTCTAAACACGATAACAAACCCATAAATGCAACGCAGTCCATTCGCTGTTCTCATGGCGTGCCGCAAAGCAATTTTCCAGTTCGCTTGTGTTCATTCTCGAAGCAGATGCACAACCTTCGGTATTACCCACTATTGTGTGAATGCTCTGCTTTGCGCTAGTCGAGGCTTTTTGAGTGAAATGAAAGGGCTGATGAAACTTTCGCACGAATAGGCAACTGCGCGTCTCGGAAGGACAGAATGAAAAGTCTAAAATTTTGTTGGGTTGATGCACCAGTGGGTGTTTGAATCGGCTCCCAGCATACAAATACTTTCGAATTCTTAACACTTAGTGTTGGTTGTTCTGATGTCCTCGGCAAAAAAAAACTGCGCAAGTTATATGTTCCGAGTATCCTGAAGTGGTGTCTTAAAAAGACAACGGCATGAAAAAAACTTATAGTCTCTTAACTGCGGGCCAGCCAGGAGAAAAATAGAATGCATACAAAATGTTCATATAGGGGTTTCCGACGACTTCCAGGAATATGTGTTATTCGCTGCTCTCACGAAAAAAGAAGCGTCATTGTTGAAGTGTACTATAGCGTGCCACAACAGCATTGAAAGCTGCATAGATAAAGCAGATTTGATTTCTATGTTCTCATTGCTTAACGGACAGCACATTAAGGAGGACATGCTTTTTTTTTCAACGTAGTTTGGAAAACTTTGTAAAAAAAGCCCCATACGGAGATGACTTGTACACTGGTAGAAAATCACTTTCTGCATGAAACCATTAGGGTGGTTCCACAGAATTTTGGACTTGCATCGAATTCATGCGACAGAAAAGCTCTTGAGCACGCACGTAATAGACACGGAGTTCGAATTCCTTCAACACTGGTCTTGCCCTTTTGTGTTGGTCTGTGATGGACGGGTGAAACTTGTCTTTCGGCTGGCCTGGTATTGGCAGGCTGATGTGTCGATGCGCCGGCAGAATTGACATGCTAACATACAAATACGCGAAATGTACATAATCATGTTTTATGTGCGCCTCTTGTTTACCTTGCGATATGCATATGTGTATCTGTCCTTTTTGGCGCATTTTTGTGTGGCTGTGTTTGTGTGAACCATCGAATGTTCATGTATTTTCCACGTCATCTCATATCCATGTTCATGTGAAGGAAGTATGTTTTGTCATCATCGTTAATATATGTGCAAGAAGAAAATGTTTTGTTGAAATGTTATTGACGTCTATGACAATAATTTTTTCTAATGTTGTCTTCGGGGAGATGCGCAAAAACAACTTCGACTCTACTAAATTTCAATGCTAGTTGTCAAGGAAAAAGATTTTAATGAACACTGAAAGTTATCTGTCCCAATATATGCCAGGCTTCCTACATTGGAGGAGGCTCTTCAGACATTAAAAAAAAAAGTGGGGTGGGGAGCAGGTTTGTGCCTTCGATGTCTCGCGTGAGAAACCTCAGTCACAAAAATCACCAAGCCCGCAGCATCAGCCAAATATTAAGCGCCGAGCACTTCATGGTGCCATCGTTGCTTGGCGTATGCTACAAGTGGAGCATACGCCCAGCTACGACTTGTGCCGTCGTTGCTTGACGTAGCGCTTCATGTGGAGCATGCTGAGAGCGCTCTCACGCGAAGTCGTTCCATTGTTCGTCCTGCGCATTCATGATGACCAATTTAAGTCAGCGTCAGCAGCAAAAAAAAAAAAAAAGACTGGTGTGCTTAGCGTAACACCGACAAAAGCACGTGTAAAATAGGAAAATAGAGAAAGGAAGCACGAAATAGCAACGCAGAGGAAGGAAAAATAGAAAGACACAGCAAGAAATCAAATAGAAGTGAAGAGAGAGAAAGACAGAAAAAAGCTGGGAAAGAAAACAAGGAAGAAAGATACGAGGAAAGAAAAAAGAAATCGAACAAAAACAAACAGGCTGCCGTGTTCCGCACTACCTCCAGGCTTGGCACCCCTTGTGGGAGCGCGCCCCGCCGCCGTGGTCTTGTGACTAAGATACTCGGCTGCTGACCCGCAGGTCGCACTATTGAATCCCCGCTGCGGCGGCTGTATTTTTGATGGAGGTGAAAATGCTGTAGGCCTGTGTGCTCAGATTTGGGTGCATGTCAAAGAACATCAGGTTGTCAAAACTTCCGGAGTATCCCACTACGGTGTCTCTCATAATCATATATGGTGGTTTCGGAACGCTAAACCCCTATATACCTTAATCAATGAATCAATAAACCCCTGGTGCGAAGCTGCCTTTTTGGAGGGTGTCATGCCAAATCCGTTCAACGGAAGTTCAGTTAGTTTTATGTGTAGGTCGAATATGGAAGGTGTTAAATGTAGCCCAGCATCCTTCTCTCCAGGGCAGACTACCTTTATTTTTGTATTTAAAACATTTTCAACTTTAAAACGTCACGAGCTATGTTGTCACGAAAGTTCACTGACAGAAAGAACGGCCGTTTGTCGGTGAATCGGCGCGTGCGTTTGAAGGAGACAGAATTTTGCGTCGAAAATTGCTAAACGAATGTTACTACGTTTGTCGGAACGTGCACCCGTCGTTTAAATAAAATGTTGGAATGTTTTCACTATGTTCGCAGATGACAGCTCAACTCCTCCCAACGCCAGCGTTGTCCAGGATCGCGACCCGTTGGACGGTGTTCCCGTAAAGCGATTCAAGATCACCGGCTTCGTGATCGGCATGCTGCCACCTCTGTTCATCTCCTTCTACATTATCCTCAAGCTCGGGTACCGATCTAGGTACGCCGAGGAAAGAGCCGAGGAAGCCGGAATGATGGAAGAACCTTTCTTCATCAGTAACTAAGCCCGCCGTTTTGCCCAAACCACAACAGAGTGACTACCACCAAATTGTACGCAGCTCTAGTCCTTCCTGGTAGACCAATACCGTCCCAGGAATTTTTGTTCGTTCCCACTTGTGTCTAGCGAGACGAGTTTTAAATATTTCTCTCTAACTCCTGCCGAAGGTTGGCTGGAGCGCCTACGACTGACTACATTCACCCCCGTATTCTAGAACGTCCCTTCACTCAACGCTTCACCTTCACTCAACGCTTCACCTTCACTTGAAAAAACCGATGTGAGCGCCGTCTCTAGGCGCGGCAAGTCACTGCATATCAGCGATAATCTGCTGCGATTCTTGAGTAGCGCAGCATCATTTTCAGCCGAGCAGCGGCACAGTGCTCAACTCTGTCAAGTGAAATGCGAAGGTCGAGTCGAGGAGCGTTTCTGAATACGGGGGTCAGAGTATCGAAGTAGACATTAAGAGTGAAAATTTTCAATGGTGTCCCGAAGCCATCGGCCTCTTTTGCCACCGTATTTGGTGCCATGAGAGGCACATAGATGCGCCCAGTGCACGTTAAATACTTGGTAAACGTAGGCTCAAAATCATATCTCTTAGATTTATTAATGGGAGCCATTGAAAAATAGTAGACAGCAATGCGAATTCCTGAATAATTAATACGCATCCCCTGAATGTTTTATGCTACGTGCCTCGTGGCACCGAATACAGCAGCAAAGGAGGCCAATGAATTTATTTAACTCTGTCTATTTGCTGCTTGTTAATTATTTCGACGCTCATAACGAGCTGCAAACTCGCAAGGTGTCCTCAAACTACGTGCGCGGGACCTTCGCGTTGCGTATTTGCGCATAATCATTCGCACTTTGTCGACTGCGTATTCGATTATGGATTCTCCTCCAACAACTACTAAAGCCTATACTAAAAGAACAGGGACAACGCTTTTTTTTTTTTTGACGAGGAATGCCACTGAAGCAAAAAATACCTATATATAACACAGCAACGTTCGCTGAGAGGAATTAGTGTAAGGCGGACTCATGTATATATCCCATCACAAACTGTGTATATGCAATACCATTCTCACTACTTCACAGCAACGGGGACCACCCAGACGACACTCAGGAACAATTTTAGAAGGGACCTTTCAGCCTACTTGTACACATGCCTTACCAAGAATGCAATAGTATTGCGCGTGTTGTATAGACATTGTGTTGCCTCCTTTCATTGCACGTTTGCCATGTTGTTCTTGCTTCCTAAAACGAGTGATTCGGGGTGACAACCGAGAACTAAGAAAGAAAGCCAGAAGAAGACAGCATAAGACGCCAGACTTAATGATTACCTTAGAGAGCACCTGTTATTGCTTAGGAAAGTCACGGGTTCACATCTGACGCTCATTTATGATTTGCGGGACTGCGCTCTCCCTTAGGAGACGTGCGTGTGGTCGGAGGAAGCGAGGAAAAGTTAGTTAATGCAGCCATCATCAATCCACATAAAAAACAGGGATGGCTGCATTAGTGTGCATTTGGTGTTTCTCTGCAAGTTTGAGTGTTTATTTTTAGATAGCACTGCGCAATAGCTTCGCTTGATAGTGCTCCAAGACAGTTTGCATGGGCTATGCCGTCTCTATGTGTGCATGTTTTTACACCGTATATATTAGGGTACTGAACTTAAAAATAAATTATAGTGAACTCTGGCGTCCTATAGCGGTGTCTTCTTCTTGTTTTCATTTTCCTTAGTTCTCTGCTTTAACTATTATTCTATTAAGCTATGTCCCAGCTGGCCCAACGTACTACTCTGCTAAATCGAATTATCGCTTCCAGTTTAAGGCTTGTATATTGCTTACTGGGAATAATCCTAGCAAGCAAAGTGCATTTGCAGCCTTTCCTTTGCATCTGTGACTTTTGCTAATATCTTATACTGAGATAAAGGAACGTGTACTGACCCCGTCTAGCGTTGTAGACGGGTCAGTGTGAGCTGGTTCAAACAATGGTGCTTTGGCTGTACTCTGTAGAGGATGTGAATACTTCATTCGCTTTCATAGCTTAGCACGTAGATTACAAATTAGAGCCTTGCTCACTCAATTCTTCCGACGCCACATGCTACCTGCACATACATTGAGCCGTTATACAGATCATACTGACCATATGAGTACATTTCCTGCTCTTATACGGCGGGTATCCTTGTAGATCAAACCTGAAAAGTGACCTCTGACAACAGTATTTTTCTAGAAAGCCAGAATCTCTTCTTTCCATCCTAAATATAAAAGGTGTACATAAAGCGTACGTGGTGTGATCAAAAGGTTTCTTCGCATTGCATAATCACTTGTAGTTTGTAGAACAACGCGACAAGGCTCGCTTGTCCAGGACCTGTTACACCTTCAGCAAATATTGCAGTTTATGTGCAAGTTTAGGGCCGATGCTTAAATAAACGCATTTTACGCGTTCCGGTCAGTTTAAGCGAATAATTTTGCTAACACGTTATGGTGTCGTCGTGCCTCTTTTCGAGCCCTAGTGTGATATTGCGTGGACACCTTGTTTTGTCGCGTTTGCTTTCGCATTTTGTCCACGCTGCCTTTTGAGACCTCTAGCACAGCACGCAGCATCTCACCGAACAGACCCCGCAAAGTGGGAAGTGAGCTTGACCCTAAGGAGCCCATACGACGCCCTATACTATACTTCACTGCATCTACGTTTTGGGAGTACCAATCTCAAAGGGAACAGGTAATACTAGACATAATTTAGGCTGTAATGGTAGTTGAGAAAGCCAACAGATTACGCCGTATCGACCTGTTGACTCCTGTGACGCGTGAAATTGAGCCGGTAATCACCTCTCGCACTGCAACTCCATCACGATAGTTTAGATTCGATTGTGGCATTGTAGATGTATAGTGCATTACATTTACTTCTACCTGTACAGAACGACCGGGTGTGCAAGGTGTATTGTATGAAGGTACGAGTGCTGGGAAAATAACTGAGCGACCTCTAAATGCTGCGAAAAGGTTACCTTTCCTTCTCACGCGAATTCTTATGTAGCTTACTAGCTTGTATGCGCTAATGTGCTGTGAAAAATACTTCTAGACCAAATGTGTTACCATGTTATCCATTAAGTCCTCTCTATTCTTGCTTCGGGGAATCGATGAATATTGACAAGAACAGATCGCGAAAGTAACGCAGTGCTTTATGTTTACACCTAAGAAATAGAACACATTTAAGGAACAAATGAAATAGAACTCATTGCTCTATCTACCATTTCGTGCAGCTATAGTGAATGACAGTTTTCGCCATGAAAAGTGATGCCAGGAAGAAATAAAAAAAAGGCAATAAAATGTGCGTGTGAATTCCATGGCTTTCTTGGCGAAACACGCCGTCTAAAATAGTGGTTACCAAATAGATCTTGTAAACTCCTCAACTTTAAGTATGCTTGTGAGGGCTCACGTCAGTGATTCGAGGGTACGATGCAAGCTTGCCTTTTTTGCATAGATGCCTAAAACCATGTCGTTCATTATAGATCGCATTTTATTTTATTTAGAACTTCTTTCATTTCCTTTCTTATGTTCAGCTCAATATGATGCTACAAAGATATGAAACAAAGAAGGAGAGTGAGGTTCAAAACAATTAGGCGCAAATTCGCAGGTTCATTCGAGCCAAGCCTTTCACTTCAGTATGATTAGAATGGTCAATATATTCCAATTTCGCCACCGATATTCAAGGTGGACGTGTTTCTTGCGAAAAGTCTAACCAATCAGAAAGAGCCCCTGTGAACAAAAATAAATTTCCAGTTTATTTTCTGGTCTTTGGTGTCTTCACGCATAATTGTAATTTTTTTAGCGATAGTCATACTCGAGCCCGAATAAGTTGTCATTGACAAAACTGTTTCTGCTTCAGCCAGCGAAATGAATTGTTTTTGGTGTTAACTACATAATTTGCATGTTAAACTATGCGAGTTAGCGAGAGAGCCACCACTTGCAACCTGCGATTGCTTCTGCTGCAACGACACCTATAATATTCTCTAAGCAGAGCCATCGTTCATGGGAATTTTGTGCTGTGTCCTTTTTCATTCCGTTATTGTTATTTGCGTTTTACGGCTTGATTTCTGCTGACTTTCCTCAAGTTGGGAGTGCTGTAACAGTTTCTACAAACAAATATACATTTTTAATTCCTGTTCTGATCATTGGTTTTCTCACCCACAACAATTATTTATTCTTCAGAGGGATGGTCACACCAAATCCGGAGTAAGTTATCATTGGCGAATGTGTTTCTACCTAAACTGCCGAAATTAATCGCCTTTGGCGATAATAAGTACATAATTTACATGTATAAGTGAGCGAGTTAGTGAGCCAGCCATAAATGGCAACCGGCGATTGCTTCTGCTGTGACCACACCTACCATATTCTCTAAGCAGATGCAATGTGCATGTGAATTATTTGTTGTGTCCTTTTAATTGTGTTAATGTGATTTGCGCTTTAGAGCTTAATTTCTGCTTACTTTTCTCAAGGTTGCGGTGCTGCATCAGTCCACAGTATTGTGGCCCACGTTCCCTATGCACTGTATGCGCCGACGAATAAACAACGGATAAACAAAACCCGAGTCGTTGTGATTGTTTGATACAATGAAAGAATGGCAAAGAATTTTCACCTAGATTATAATCTCGCTAACGCGGGTGTGGGTAAGTCGCATTGTCAGGCACGGCCTTGCCGTTCGTAAATATGCTAACTGCACTTACGATCGAAAGCTTATACGTTATTATACCCTGGTGGTACGGCACTCTCTTTCATTAATTTTGTGCCGTGGTAGATATTAACACACAAAAAATAAGATGACTACATTCCACGAAAGCTGCGTGGATGAGGGAGAAAAAAAATCTCAAGACCTTCGCGCAACGGGCAGCACACTTACAGCGAAAGCTAGACAGAGTGAAAGAGAGATAGAGAACACAACTTTATTGTACTCAGACTTAAGGAACCAGATGATCTGCAATGTTAACGTGGTGGCCACCTACTTTGCTCTCCTGGATCGGAACTGCCGGGCGGGTGGAGGACAAAACCATAGTGGGTGCCACGTGAGTGTACTTGTAGTAGTTGCCCCGAGAGTGCTTAAAAAGATGTATAGACAGACCGACGTTCTAAATTTTCTTTCACAAAAAAGATTGGCCTTTTTATACTCTTCCTTGAGCCCTCTAGAGGCGACTATACACCACAAGGGCATGGCACCCACTACGCTACGAATCATATTTTCTGTGAAGTAGGGAGGCGCCCAACACGCCTACATCCGT